GCCACAGGAAGCAGACGGATAACTGGAGCGTCAAAAGGTCACCGTGCGACGTCGCGTCCACTTACAATTCAGATTTACGCGAACTGGCAGGAGCTGCCTTGCTGAGGCAACCGGCCGCGCCTGCGCGCGCAGGCGTGCTGCAGATGTTTTCGCTGCGTGAACACGAAGCGGCGCGTCGGAGAGCGAAATAGGGACGGTCTGTCCAAAATAAGAACCGCTCTAAGAACGGGAGCGATACAAAACGAGAAGAAAGGGTCGGAGAGAATCGGAAGGAAAGTACGTGAATCCAAAAAATGAACAGGGAAAGGATTTTGTGGAACGAGGATGATAAATGATCACCAACGCCGAAAATAAAGGTAAATAAAGATGTAACTTAAATATAGAAAGCATATGTTCAAGAAATGATAGAGATCAGGATGTGAGTAGGAGAGATAATTCGGCAACTGGGCAGAGGGACAAATTGGCGGTAATGCTTCTTCTCCGTATTGTCATAGGACAGATCAGCCTCAAATTGCCACCCTTCTCCCAAATCCAAGCTCTAAACGCCACCGAACAAATACCTAAAGGCACCTAACACAAATGCAAGTAAAATTCAAATCGTACTCACCACATATCTCATTGCCACCGAGTGGCAAAAGACCTCCTCCATAGAGAATTTCGTCGGGATTGTGACTGACCGTTCCTCCCTGAGCGACTCCCCATGTATTCGGCACTTGAAGGCCTTTTCGCTTCGCGATTTCAACCTTAACGAGGACTTCACTACTTCTTTTTCAAGTGTACTTTCAAAAACAAGTAGAACTAGGAGCTTCCTAACATATAACCCACTAGTTTACTTGTTTGAGGTAATAGTAGCACTGAGCTAGTGCGGCGGCATCACCCAGAGAGTAGGAACTGATGCGGGAAGATATGGGACAGCCTTCATAGTGAGGTCCTACGATAAATTGGAGGCCAAAGGAGGGCGAACTCCTCAAGAATGCGAGACGACACACGTTCAGCAGCAAAAGGTTCGCCGCTAGCGTCATGGCAAGCCGTACAAGCGAAGCTCTTCGCCGCACCTAGTGGCGTAGCATAGCCGCTACAAGCTGACGCTCTTCCGCTCCACGGTAGTGGCCACCCTCGCCGTCAGACTCTTAGCTGTTTAGCAAGAGATCGAAGCAAGAGTTCACGTTCATTCGGAGAGGACAGAACGTCTAGAAGCAGCTGCTTCGTGAAACCCCACGATGTTTGAATTGAATGCACGCCCCCTCCATGAGTTCTAGACTGAGGTTTCAAAGGCAAAAAAATTAAATAATCAGCAAAAACGCTGTGAATACCTTGCCGATAGCCACGGTGGTTGTGTGGCCATATCCAGAACGTATGAGTCATCTCCCACACCACTGGCACCGAGTGACAACGGGATTCGTACCCAGAGCAGGCTTCGCAGCCCTCGTTGGATACATCACAGGCGAGGTATTAGTGAAAGACATTGCCTGGAAACATCGCGGGATCAGTACTTTTTAGCACAGACGCTATTCAGTTGTACTGTAACCAGAATTGCGACTGCTTTTACACTTCAGCCAGCCCCATCCACTACAGAATGCTGTGGAATAGGTATCGATTTCCGCACGCACGCGAAAGCATATATGTTTTCCATGTATGAATATGGGTGGCCGAGGCAAGTGCCAGAGCAGCCTAATTCCTCTGAACTCACCATGCAACCTTGCTTCATGGCCCTCAGTACATACCATCCAGCTATACCGAAATGGTTCGAGCCTAAAGAACTTTTTTTCAATTTTCTTTCAGAAATTAGTAGGTTGAGTGCGGACCTTTACAAACGACCCAGCCAACGCCAGCCTCCTTGGCCTTCTTGACAGCGAGATCCATGCAGAAATTACCTACTACAGGACCCAGTAAACTATTGCCGTCCACCCAAGCTGATCCTGCTTTTTCCTATAAAACAACAAAAGTTACCAGAGAAACGGAAAGTAAGAGTGAGGGAAAATCAATCCATCACACCTTTCTTTCGGCAATCCCCTACATACATATCTGAAAGTATCGGTTTGATGAAAGGATAAAACCCGCTGTAAGCCAAGCGCTCAGCTTTTTCTGGTTTGCGCCATGAATTCGACTTCTGCTCACATTCTGGCAGCGGGACATTACATTCTTTACAGATTTATGTCTGTTTCATGCAGAAAGTTACTTCAGAGCCAGTGAAATAAGCTGATAAGATTCAACCATCCAGCTCATAGGAGTGGCCAAATTGGTGGGCTACAGAAGGTATTCGGTCCTTTCGATGTCCAGGGTAACTGGTGTCTCTATATATTACGCTGCCACCGAACAGATAGCCCTTCACTGCGCATTTGAGGTTTTGCAATAACGGTCCACCCTATAACGCTATCTGGACATAGGTAGAGTAATTGTAATGCGTCCGATTTTGAACGGAAGCCATGTGCACGGCGTATATCAGATAAACGACCAAAGAAAAGTTACGTCAGAAAAATATATGAGAGATCAATTTGTAGCGGAATTATGAGTTTCTATTGCTACCACAGGTAAAAATGTTTGTTGAAGACCTACCCAATCGATTCAATCCGTGACTGTAATGGCCACGGACATCGGCCTCGACCAGCACATCAGCCAGTTGTTCGGCATGCGATGCAACTACACCTTGCTTTTGCATGATGTCGACGATGAACCGACGCATCTGAAGGCAAAAATTATATCACATTTTGAGACGGCATTGTTCAGTGACTGGTAGCTCTGTCTTCATACAGACCGAACCTTACGGCACATGTGAATTTGCCTGCCCAAATTTTCGAAGATTATTCCGATCGCTTGCACTTACTAATATTCCAATTCCGGAATAGCTCCATCTTTTGAATCGCAAATATTCCAAAAGAACTTCCCTACACCTCAACCATCCTCGAATGGGTTGTTCTACAGATTTCTATTGATTAATTTGTCATTTTATAAAACGGAAAAAGCAATCAACATTGATCAATCCCTTTTTGGAGATACGCCACACATTTTACTCCCCTCAGAATCGTGGTGGCATTTGAATGCGATAGGCTTATACAAT